AATAAATAACACTAACTCATTAACCCCTGACAGGACTTCCAGTGGTCATTCTCGTTTTCACGGCTGCCATTCAACCATCTACMTACGACATGAGTACGAAACACGAGGTCTACCAATGTGGTACTCAGGAGATTGAAATCACCGTGGAACGAAACTTGTAAGTAATCAGTAATTTTAACCTATCCGGCAGTTCTTTCGACTCATTTATAACCCAACTATATAGAACAGCTTCAAGTATTTAAAAGCATATTTTAAAAATATTATTGAAAATATTATTTCGCAGTTGCTGGTTGAACGGTGGCTTCTGGATATACAATGGACCAGTACTCGGCATACTATTGGTAATGCTTTGAAATCTTTATAAGGAAATGTGCGATATTTAGCAGGAAGGGAGGTTGAGAATACAGACAGGGGGCCAACATCTAATTTTATGTGCTTTAAAGAGGRRGCAACGTCTAAATYTAACTAGAAMTTTAATTGGAAAATAAAAAATCAACGGTGTCAGATTCTTTTGCGACAAYTGTTTAGTCAAGAATAATAAATAAATAAATTCACGGGGGGTGGGGATGATAAAAATTGTGCAGTCCCTACGCTAGAATTTAAAAAGATCGATCTAAATGGAAATTATTTGATGCAAATTAAAAGATAGCGSATAGTGTCATATAGGGTTCTGAAGCACAATAACAGTGAAGGAAAGATTTGATGGGGTAGTGGGGTCATGTAATAACACACTGCTCTCGACCAATCCAAGAGCTCGCCATAAAACATATTTTATATAAATCTTAGAGCGGAATTCTGAAAAAAGAGCTGAAGTGTTTATCGACTCTCACCATCTCTACATCGATATTTTATCTGCAAATGTTTGTTATTTGTTTTTCCAAGTAGGTAGCCTTATCTCCAAAGGGGACCAAAAAGTGCAAATCAGGTTACAAATTAGCAATCGTTTCTACAAGAACATTTAAAAGGCAGTCCGGATGCTTTTTAGCTATTTGAATTTACTAGACTTCTTTTCAATGCGGCTTCTCCCTTTCGCTTCAAGGTAAACTTTGCACTATTTTTGGTGTTCTTGAATATTGCATACGGAAAGTTGTCTCAACGATTTGCTGACAATAAACTGAAGAAAGCAAGGTATGTTTTATCAGTAATTAAATGCATAACTTAAATTGGAAGGGAAAATGGATGAAATGGCCTTAACTCGAGATAAGAATTGAAGATTTAAGATAATTTAATGTTGTGAAAATTGGCAATTCAAAATTCCGATTTTTTTTAAGTATATATATTGATATTATCTTTTTTTCAAATTCTTGTTCCTGTTCATTAGACACTCAAAGCTACAGAATCCGGGACGAATTATATCTTCACCGTTCGTAAAAATATACTGCCTTCCGCTGATCTCGTCTTTAGAAATATCATCAGTCGGCTTGGCACCATGCGATGCATAAGGCCTMCGTAGYACTGCTCTATCTATCTAGGTCTGTTACAACTGCTCTCACTCTCAAGGTTGTTTTCGGTCTGTTTCTTCGTCTTTTACATGCTGTTACCTTATTACTGCTCTGGTCTTTCCTCGGTATATATCCAATCATTTTTCATCTTCGCCTCTTTACCCCTTACTCACTGGTTCAACCATCTTTGCTTTTTCTAGTAGTTCATCCGTGCTCATATCTAATCWTGACATTTCACTCTTCTTAAACATCTGTTTTGAAACACATTTATTTCCTGCTTTTCACTTCTACTCATTTTTTTCACATTTAAGAGGCATATAATATACTGGAATAGCAACAGACTTATAAAGCCTTAACTTTGTTCTGCTTACATAATCATTTTACTGCTGATTTTATTTAGTCTTACAAAATAATGCAACTCCTGCGTTTGACAATCTGTTCTTTAAATCCTCCATTCCTCTGCCTTATTAGAACGCTTTGGCTATATAACTAAATTCAAAATATATAAACTAGAGAATCACGTGTAAACGCCAAAAGKTTTAWGATACGGAGGRAAGAAATCCTTCGGAGTTATAAAGGAAGTACAAATTAACACACCAMCTTACAAGTACAAAAATTGTGGTCCAAGACAATAAAGAATACCKYCTAAAGACAAAACAGGCTCCAAGATATATGATCTCGGCTTGCCTCTTTGAATTATTCTTCWTASTTTWRRGGGTTCATATTGATCTGTCCTAGATTCTTCACCTATTCCCGATACCTTGTTTTATTATCTAATGTAAATTTGCAATTAATGATTCTTGTAGAATTGGAATTTTTAATKTTTCATTGTTATTTTGCGAGATTTTGACTTCCCGTCAAGATATAAACTATCAAAAACATCACTTTCAGCTATTGACGAGATGGCACCTTTTGCTTTTTACTGTGTTAAGGAAATGCATCAAGTGTGTTGCCGCTCTTCTTCCTCTGCTGGGTTTGGTGTGGCTTTTCGGGTACACAGTAAACTTRCAYTGGATTCTTGCTTACATCTTCATYAYCATCAACTCTTCACAAGTATGGATTTATATAGATCAAGAGACCTTTCCACTGYTTTGCTATTACTGTTGATTTATTATCATTTTTTTTCTACTAGGGCATCATGATCGTCATATTCCATTGTGTTCTAGATGATCAGGTAAAATTATATTATCACTGTAGGCGCGCAACTTACTGCAAGTTCTTAGAGGAGAGACAGATATATAAAAGAACATTTCTAAAAATTAGCCTTGTTGCAAGCTACTTCCAGATGAAACAGCGTTTACTCTGTAAAGCAGTAGAAATCCATGAAAAAAAGGGAAGTGCATGACYCACACATTCCACACGGCTTTTTTAAGGAAMGTTAGGAAAATGCTGTGTTTAGATTCTACTTGTAGCAATACTGTAACCCTACTCCGAGTCTAACCTTGTAKATCAGCTGGTAGAGCATCGGTAGCAAAAAATCCGTGGGATCGAACCCCAGTGAGGTCAATTTTTCCTAATTTATTTCCTTTCCTTTATTTTGTATATCATTATTAGGTAAAAGCCAACTTAAAATCGAAATTTAAGCAGCGAAGACGATTAAAGAATAAAGAGATGGTTGTTCAAGGTCAGAACGATTTATGAATGATTGAATTTAATATGAAAATTTAATTGAAAAGAGAAACAAATGATTTGGATATCAAAATATCATTAGATGAAGAACTATGTCCGGCTGACTCCCTACTGAGTATGTGTATAATCAATCGCATTCTTAGATTTCCAATTTATTCCAAACAACACAKTTTATTTATTACTTAAAATCACTCTCTGAATACGATTACAATTAAATCAGCCCTCGCAGTTAGCCAGGACTATTCGAAGCGAGATCGATAAAAAAAAATAAGAAAACTAGTATAAAARATATCMAAAATTCACAGTTTTACACGGACAAAAAGAAAAAAAAAGTGAGCGATAAGAGGAAAAATGCGTAATATTAGAACATTATTTAATAAGAATTAAGATAATTATAAAATGATRGCAGCGGTCTTCCTCAGTATGAAGCCTTTAGCTCGTCAATAATCTGTTCAATATCTAAAAAATCGTCTCATATCAAAGAATTGTTATCATTCGTGCGGGTTCCCTGTGCATTTTAGTTTTGGGCTTCCTTTAGCAAATCCATGCCATATATGGAAACAAACAAAATGGCGGATTGTTTAGAAGTGTTTTCGCTATAATATCTGCAAGTTTCCGACGATTTCAAGCTTTAAAAGTCGAGAAAATCGACAAAAACCATTCCTATCGAACTTCCAAATAAGGTAAGATTACCATATATGGYTGCTAAACGAAGGATAACTTTTGTGGGGCAATTCTTTGATATGGCTTTTTCTAAAATCTCGAGAGAGATGCTCTTAATCACTGTCTTTATAATGAGACTTTTTTAAAAGTCTATTGAAGCATATAAAAAACGAAAAGAACGCTTAAATGATTCAGTCCTGATGCCATCAAACTAAAAACATTTATTTGATGTTGATCGTGTTGTGCATYTTCCAATGACCTGAACATCAAAATGATGGTTTTGTCCTTTATGAATTCAACAGGGAATGTACATATCCAGTGTGAAGAAAAGGAGCAAGAAAACGATGGAAAGAATATAGAAGGTTAGTTCTTTGCAGTCCTGTATACTGGCAGTTTCCCTTTACTTTTTTATTGAGCAATTGAGTTTTTTTTTTTTTTTTGATATCATACAGGTAATGATGTACATATCCATTGTGAAGAAAAGGAGAAAGAGAACGATGAAAGGAGCAAAGAAGGTCTGTTCTTTGCACTCATCCACAAAGGAAGTTCATTTCATTATTATAACCAAACTTTATGGTGATTTTTGATATTAAACAGGGAATGCACATATTCCGTTTGAAGAAAAGGAGGATGGCATCCTGGGAAGAAACAATGAAGGTTAGTTCTTTACACTGTTGTCTTCGTTACAAAAAATCATTTCATGTCCACTTTAATTTCCAGGGAGAAATTGTAGAGTAAATGTGGATATCATTGATAATTGTTGCATTTTCCCGTTTACTCTAAACTAGYCTCGAAATACAGGAGGAGCTGACGGGGACTGTTTTTTCTAAATAACTATTCTTGAAGGAATTTTTTCCTGGGAAAGGGATTTTGAGCTACATTGTTGACAGTCTCATAATCAATTGTGGCGCCCTTCCTTCATTAAAATAGTTTTGTTCCTGGCAAACGCTTTTAAGGTCAAAAAAGGCTTATATAACGTTTTAGTTAGGAAATTTTTATTTTCCTGGCAAACATTTTCCGAAAGTATTCCTTGCCTGGGGAGTTCTTTTTTCCTGAATGTTTTGCTTGCAATCAGTTGTGAMYTACAGCTGGCKRGGACATTGGAAGGCGGGAGGAAAATACTAATCATAAGTATTATGCAACTGAAACATAACAGCAACAAAGATTATTTTATTATTTATATCAAGTATTATTTGCAGAAATTGAAGAAAACACATCGGACAACATAATAGAAAGCAAGTTCTAGCATATGAGTTAAGGTAATTTACTTGGAAGTYTTAATTTGGTAATATGGAGAAGTCRWTTTACAATGTTGTTCAAGAATGGATATTAAAGATAGTTATGCTTGAAGAATCTCTTTCGACTAAAATACAATCCTTATAATTCATATTTCTTTTTTACTGTGGGTAAAATTAATTTACATTTCTAATCTATCATCTTTTATAGACTTTATATCTAAATCAAGTCAAACAAGACTAGCCAAGAAGAATAGTGAACAATTGCAAAATATTTAAAGAAGTAGAGTTCATCTATTGAGTAACGAAAACAACAGGAATAGAAGCTATATTTTAGCTTTAGTATACCGTTATGATTTGATTCTTAGATAATTTCTTCAAAATTCTGTAGATTAGGATTTCTGTGTATATGACATATAAGACTTTTTTAGGAACAAAGTAGATTGTGAAAAACAGCTTGATGTCTAGCGTGGGTTGTAAGAGGGTCTCAATGGGGGGGTCCGCACCACGACTCACGGCTAAAAATTTGGCTTTTTCACGACTCACGGCTAATTTTTTTCACATTTCCACGACTCACGGCTAATTTTTCAGCCGTTTCACGGCTCACGGTTAACCCCATTGAGACCCTCTTGTAATGGAAGTCTTGTAATAACTAAAAGCTGTAGCAAAAATATATACACTAAATTGTGCCTAAACTTGAAGAAGATCTGCTTATATTCACCTTCGCCCGACGAAAACACAAATACCGTAAATGATCTAATAAACGCCAACTCTCGAATGAATGCCTCCTATCTAATTAAGCCCCCCCCCCTATGCTTACAAGTTTGTAGTTTGTATTAAACGCCCGCCCATCAGCGATCGTTTACATGGGCTTCCTGTGGTATATCACAATCAGTAAATGATATTGAACCCTAATGAAATTAATATTACTAAGACAACAGCAAAAAAGATTTCCTTTAATGAAAAATAATCAAACAAGCAATGTACTTAGTAGAATTTAATAATATTGTGAAACAAGTAATTTATATTAGACGAGCCGTTACTTTAAGAGTCGCTTCCTGTTTTTCCTCAGTATAAATCTGTTGGCATCTCTTAGGTAAGTCCTTGGCGATTGTAGAGCCTGTACTAGTACAAGTTAGGTTTTGCTAAGCTAATGTTTGATAGATAATTCACGATCGGTAGATTCACGATAAATTCGCCATATCTCTCCAAATGCCCTTTTGAGAAACGCTCGAATTYTTTYAGTGTGGCTATGCCGCGAATGGTGTGTGGATTTGTAAAAGAATCTAGCGTATTTGTAGAAGCTAGATGACCTAGATTCGACATGTTCGATCATACGAAGGTCCGAAGAAGCACGAAGCGACCGTTGAATCGTTGCTTAGAAACATGAATGACAGTAAGACAATAGATGTCAAAAATGAAAAGGTCCCGGATATAATTTGAAGCATACCACAGACGAAAAACGTCRGTAATTTAAGACATGGTCTTCCTTTGSAAGCCCATGTAATGAGGATAGCGTTCTTTAATTTTTMTGATTTCATTGCTTAGTATATCAGCAATTTTTGCGTTTTGTCCTAGCAGTGTAGTGCTCACGAACTACAAGGCCTACTTSCCTTTTTTTAGGTAGAAGTTATAAATCATAACATGTGGTACATTACATTGTTACAGTTTTATTTTTGAATAAACGCCTCTCTCTAATAAACGCCTACTGTCTATTAAAGGCCCCCCTTTGGACCATGTGTTTATTAGATCATTTACGGTACAGCCAAAAGAATGGACTTTATTGGAGAATTACTAGACTGAACATGATCTGAACATAAGTAAAAACAAATAGTGAAGATAATGTGTTCAAAGATCAAACGCTTAACTTTGTCCAAGGACAGCATCCTAAGAACAAAAATATTGAAGAATCCAAGAAGGATGAAAACATAGAGGAAAAGCAAAGATTTGGCTTGTCTCTGGGTAAGAACAAAGTGGAGGAGAAAATAAAAAAAACAGTGCATAAACGAAGACCACGTTGTATAAACAGATACCTGCTCTGTGAAAGGGTTGCGAGAGAAATGTGCAAGTACCAAAGTCACTAAGTTAGCAATGCTACGATATCGTCTATAAGCCGCCTAGAAGAGATCAAATACTAGAGAAGAGTTATCTTAATTTTCTCAGGTAATTTGTTTTCTTGGAAAAAATTATGCGTTTGGTTTTTGAACACATCATCTCTGCTATTTGTTTGTACTTGTTTTAGTAAYTCTCCTATATCGTTACCAAAATCTGGTAGTTCTTGACTTGAACAATAAAACCCGGAAAACGTCTTGAATTTTGGATTCAAGCTATACCGGGTTTTGAATTCAGGCCCGCATTCTCCTGATGATAATCAAAACCGCCCCCAACTTCTAGAATGCAGGTCTTCCTCTAATTTTGAAAACCTAAATAAAACAATAGAATTGGGGCGTGCCTGTTTAATAACTTGGACTAAACTCGCAMWCAGTCCTTTAGTTGAACTCATTTGCAATAAGCTCTTTGATCTTCGTTGGATCTGACGGACCAGAAAAGTRTTGGTGATGCTTGTTTGATTGGAATGACGTGGATTGCAAGGGGTTTTATATACATCTCAAGTACTGTATACTCTGATACTCTGAAGGAATCGATCAGACACACTTGACATAATCGACATTGTTGATTTTAGTTTATAATACATAGTGYTATCAGACCAGAATCCAAATTGATCCGAATTGAATTAAAATAGACTTAAATTTTTGTTTAGYATTGGTTGGCGTCCCGTAGTCAAATCCATCAAATTCTCACCATGACTTACTTCATTATTAATAATTTGTTAAATACTTTAAAAGTTAAACGATTTCTTTGCTCTTTGCTTCGACCCAATTAGTGTAAAAGCCTCGGGTCACTTAAAGTTTCATTTTTTTCAATTTATTTTTCCATCAAATTTGTTTTTTTTGTTTGTTTGTTTTTTGTTTTTTTGTTTTTTGCTCTTTTACATACTGTTCAAAATCTCATTCTCCTTCATGATAGGTTAAATAGCCTTAATTTTTCTATGGCTTGTAATTTCCTGCATTTTTTTTTTTCTATTGGAGCGTGGTCTATACATTCAGACCAGTTGTTGTACCTGACATTGATCCAAATTCCTAATTTCTGTAAGTTGGACCCAAAAAAAATAAAAACAACTTAGTTTATCAGATTCGCGACTTTCTTTGCAGTAAAAATCAAAAACAATGACTTTAAGTTCTGAAAAAAAGGAAATAATATAACAAAACTACTCAATGGGTATAATCCATTCAATTTCAACACCCGACTTTTTGTCCAGGTTCGCGTCCACCACTTGCAGATGTTTCCCGCTCTTTTCCGAGTTGACCTTAGTTGAGAGAAAACTAAAAAAAAATTGTTAAAGCCCAAACGAAGGCAAAACATACGTCTACAACAATTACTCAAAACAACAGAGGAAGGGATTTATTGTTACGAATGAAATCCTTCTCTTTAAGTCTAGTCAGCTTACTCGATTCAATAACTACAGTTTGACCTCGATTTTTGGAAGAGCAAAGAACTAGAATTCTAGTAAAAAATGATTTTAAAKATGTAGAAAATTAAATCAGTGTGAGCTCGTTCAAATTGCAAACTCAATCAAAGAAACATTAAAAAACAGCCGAATGTCTAAGCACTTCATGGCACAAAATCCTCGTCTATTAAAGACACTTTTAGTAAATCCACATTTGATGGAAAAATATCAGTTCCTCCTTCAAGATGACTTGAAATCTTTAAAAAGGGAACTCTCCACCGATTGAAGGCACACACAGTATCAAAAACAGAAACTTCAGGTGTTTTCAACAAAAAGAAATCACCACCTTTCTTTATTTTATGAAATAGACGTGCTTTTCTGGGRGCAATTAATCTGGTCTGTCTCTTAAAATTGTGATAGAATCAGCTGCGTCTCTTGAACTTATAATTTCCATATTATGAAATTAAGAAATAGATTTAAAAAAAAAATTAAAACAGTCACGTCGTGAAATTTTTATTTTCCCTGAGATTATTAAATTGGTTTTACAATTAGTTAAACACTAGAGGCTGTTCAAGACTACTTAATAGAGATGAAATTAGAACTTTCTCATCGTTTATAGGTAGGCGTCACTGAGAGAAGTCAAACACGGAATCAGCAGTAGCTTTCAACATCGAAGAAAGCAAAAAGGTATATATTATTTTTTCTTTTTTATTATGTAATGACAAATTTCTTTATACTAATATCCCATTAACCGAGCGCGAGGCTGAGAAACCTTGATGGCAAAATTTGGATTCATTTTTGACTCTTTTTTATACAGTACAACTACAAAAAGAGAGAAAGCGAGCCTTTTTAAGATAAAAAACGTTTTTTCTCGTTTCATCTGGTCCGTACGGGAAAGTATGGCCCGCTTTTTAGCCAATGAAATCGTGTGTTACATCCGAGCTATATAATAAATTATTTATGGGCCGGGATTTCAGAGCTGTTGAGCCATTCGTTTCAAAGAGTTCGAATTGCGCTATTCATAAACTGTGTGTTTGTATCTTCTATTTTATTGGCCCAAAATTTAAAATTATGATTTAGTAAAAAAATTGGATTGACTTGGGGATCATAAGAGTAATGTCAGTGAAGCGGTTTTGATCGTTTTTAATGGGACTGGCATGATTCAGGCACTGAGTCTGTTTTGCAATCTTTTTAAAATCTTAAAAATGCTCTTGAACTTTAGGGAGCCGAGCAATAAAAGGGAACTCAACTTAAGATTTAAATGGAAACTTGTGAGTGTATTGATTTGTGGTTGGATGAATCAAAAATTCTTTGGAGAGCAAAATTCTCACATAATTTAAAGTTCTAAACATGAAGGAGTACTTAAACCTTTCGTATATTTTTGGTACAATATTGGGTTTACTTGCATCTCAAGATTTCTGAATAACTATGAAAAATCTGTTAAAAAGAACTATAGRCCATATGAAAAGGGCGTGGCTAGCACAACGCTATAGTTTAAAGGTTGTTTAATACATCATTACTACCCATTGAAAGAAAATAACTCAACTCTCAGCTGTGACAACTCCGCTGATATTCAAAATTTGAAACGAAAACTCAGCCAATTTACTAGTTAAGAAATATTCTTTCTTATGGTGAAAACAGAGACCATTTAAGATGCTCATTCCCAGCCCTCTGGTCGTTTTTCATAAGGTCTATAGATTCAAGATAATAAGAATGTTGAAACGCGATTTATGTCTTTAAACGCACTGTTCTCTCTATTATGATAAGTTGTCACTACGATTTATCAAACATCTCAAAAAAGGTTCATAGATTCTTTTTCAAGCTCAGTTTGCTCTTCCTAGTAATATGAGCAATACGAAGGAGGAAAGAAGATGATTGAATCACACTCATTTCTTTAATACCGCGATATGTGATATGTCTCCCAAAATGTGGGCAGTACAGCTGCTAATACTTCAGAATAGCCTTAAATGGACAAAATTTGAAAATTATAAA